GAACCCCAGCTTCCAGCCTATGGTGGCCTTGTGTGCATCTGCTTTTCCTCAGGGGCAGCCCTGGCTGGCTTGGAACTTGTAATGATCTTGCCTTAGCCTCGCAGGTACTAGGATTACTGGGGGGCACCCCCACCCCTGTTTTATAGGATGCTGGCAATCCATAGCAAGGCTTCAAGCCTACTAGGCAAGCCGTGTGTCAGCTGAGCTAAATTTCCAGTTCCATGGACGCCTTTATGTCACTAGTTTCTTTCTCGGAAAGTACTCCCTGCCTGCTGGTGAGGTGAGCATGCATCCTGCCCACCTCTAACACCCCCCTCCCCCCATGTGTGTCTCTTTTCCAAGTGGCTGGGGGGGGCATATTGGCTACCCTCTCCAACAGTCACTAGGAAATGCTTCAGTCTGAGCTCGGCTCCACACCCGGTTCCAGCCAACACTAGTTATTATGCATAGGAAGTCAACAAACACGGGGTGGAGGAGGTGGAGGTGCGGGAGCGATCCCTCCCCTGTTTGTTGTTACTGTGCTAATTAAGCATCGCATGTAGACATCCGCATAATGACGGTAAACAACATGATTTTCATCAAGAATGGCTTTACACAGTAGACTTCACACAGAACGGCCTAATTAGTTTGCTTTAGTTTTAAGTGAGTGGGATTAGCCCTGAGGAGTGGTGGCGGTCTACCTACAGAATCAAGGATTAGAACACCCCGGACAAAGGATGCAGCTATTACCCAATGGATCCTATGATGGGAAGATTTTTTTACATCCAGGGTTCTGCCCCCTGCGACAGTCCCATTTGTTTCTTCTTATTCCAATGCTAATTCCTGTGGCTGAAGAAGTCCTGGGGCCTTAGGTGGGGGAGAACATTTCTGATATCTAAGAGTCAACCATACTGTTGGACTTATCAAAAAAAGGTAGTTTATTAAGAAAACCAAACATCTGTGTGAAATAATACTTTATCATGAAAAAAAATACGTCAAAGGTAGATGGTGCTGGATGGTAGCAAGTTTAATAAATTTAGCATCACTGTGTGTGAGTATGTGGGTGCACTTGTGTGTGTGCATACCTGTGCATGTATGTGTGAGTGTGTGTGTGTGTGTACTGCACACATGCTAAGCTTTTTATCACTTATATACATCCACAGCTTACATATTACTTTTCAGCATAATATTCACTGTTAATTTTTCAGTATAATATTCACTATAATTTTATATTACTATGTGGGGAGATTTGTGGAATTATTTATGATTCGTGAAAAATATTTAAAGAATTGTTTTCACCCTTGCCCTGGGTTTGTTTTTAGATCTCTGCCTTTTCTGATATTCACGCATCACTAAATAGTAATGAGTCTGGATATAATTTTTCTTTGTATTAAGATTTTTGTAGTTGGTTTTGTTTTTTAAGAGTGGACTCTGGTCCTGACCCTCTCCCTCCCCTTCTCTGCCAAATAGTAAGTCTCCTGTCCCAGCAGGAGTTTGTTTGAGGGATGGAGCAAGAAACCACTTCCATTCTTGTGTGGGGGAAAGTGGGCCTCCAGTGCCGTGTGATTCTGGGTGCTTCCAGCTGGAGTCCCCACTGTAAGGATCATCACAGTTAGTTCTGAGGAGAGCACACAGCACCAGCCTGGTGATCATGACAGGTCAGAAGCAAGCGTTAGGAACTGCGGCGATCCTCAAGTCCCACCTTAAGGTGGACTGAGCACCTGGAGCAGGAGACACAGCCCATAGGTGTCCGAATCTCCTAGAGCTTCATGGGTGACATTTCTGCTAACAACGACCGTAACCCACAGTGTATGAATCAGAGCTTCAGACTATTGAGAGACATTAGATATATAAGTCTCTGGCTGACGAGAGCTGGAAAACTTAACTCTATTTTTTATTACAATTTTCAAGCCAATTTTTAAAGTATCAGTATCGCTTGAACTAATTTTTCCAAACTCACAACATCACTTAATTTTTTCAAGCTGGACATTTTAAGTGTGAAACATACCAGTCATTCCTTGTGTTCACATAGAAAATCTAAGGGTTAGGAAGTGGAGGCTCTGGAGGCATGCTGCCATTTAAAAGCCGCTGTGTGAGGCACTGACGACTTCCAAAGAATGAACAGATAACAGATTAATCAGCAGATTTCTTCTGTAGATCCAAGTGACAGAAGAAGAGACACACCATTTTGAACAGTTGTTGACCAGTGCATATTTGTCCCCTGGCAGTTGTTAGGCTGGTGACATTTTTAACATTGGAGGTGCTTGGGGACTAAGACTGCTGAGTGACAATGGTGATTTCAAGTAGTTAGACTTTGGGGTTTCAATCTTCTTCTAAAACTCAGGCCTATCTCTGCCTTACTGTGGGACCAACCACGGCCCTGAGCGTCACTGGGTTCCATTGCTTGTAAAGTGAGGTAACTGTGTACCACATGGCTTCTGAGCCAACTTCTGGTGAGTGTATGAATCCAGTAGAGAAGTAAGGTATAGAAAGTAGAATATTCTTAGGAGCTTAATCCACCTAGCTCCTCCTCATTTCATTTGAGAGCCATGCAGAGAAATGCTCTGTCCTCCAGTGGCCAGCACCACGAAACTTGACTCATCATAAGCTGCATCCATAATGGATGTTCAAAGATGTTCATAGATGAACAAAGAATGGGGGGTTGGTTCTTCGGGTTAGGACTTGGAAAGAAGATTCTTTTGGCACCTGGCTCATCACAGCCTGGATTTGGGGGGAAATAATGCTGTTGTCCAAAGGGGGAGCGGAAGGATCATGCAAAAGATAAATCTAGTAACAGTAGATAGCATGTACTTTACTTTCCAACAGCCATTTCCGTTGGGGGAAATCATACAGTGGCCTTGAGAGTCAATGTGACTGCTCTATAAGTTATTTTCATAGTGAGAGCTGTACAGTTTTTAAATAGCTACTCACAAGTGTTTCGAATGGTAAGTTTCCTAGAAGCTTAAATAGAAATAACATGGGGATACTTGTTCTGTGCATTCTTTTCAAGTGTGTGGAAAGTGGTCATTCATTCTCTTTAATTTCCAGGAACAATCATGTCTCGCTGTGTTTCTCTAGCAACAAGTAGATAGAGACCTACAACCCAGTGAACCAAATCATCTCACTTCTAAACTTAAATAAGCTGTTATAAAATTACACGTCATTTTCTTTCTGAGTATTTTTATAAATCTTTGCAAAGAATGAAAAGCAAAATGTCACATTTCCAGGGGGGGAAAGCGTCACAGGCCCGAATAAAGTTAAGAGTCATCTTCAAGCATGTCAGGCATGGATTAATTGGGCAGCTTACAGAACCACAGTCTCCTGATCTTGTTGGCCACCCCACCCCTTGTCTGTATCTGTAAGCAGGTGTGGCCCCTGCTTAGAGATAATGAAAATATTAGGTAACGTTTCCTATGTGAGATTTGTAACTATCTTATTTTCACAAGGAACTTTTTTGTTGTTGTTTTATGGTCGAGAATTACCATGTCTAAACAATAGGATCTGAGAATCCTTCCAGAGGCTGGAAGCTGGGAGGAATAGAAATAAAAATAAATTATTAGCAAGTTCATGGCTGATACAGAGGCTGGGATGGAAACAAGCCTTGCTGAACAAAAGCTGTTCCCACCCAGATGTGAAGTCGGCCAGGTTGTTCCTTTTTCCTCTGATTAGATCTTAGGTCCTTCTTATCGCCCCAACCCTACTCACTTATGGTACAGCCCAGGAGGAGCACTTGGTGAAAGTCTTGTTCCTGATGAGCTACACCCTCATGTCTAAGAGAGGAGCCACTGTGTCCTGTTCAGACACTGCAGTGAAAAAGGAGGTGGGAAGCTGTTCTCCCTCTGGCATAGACTTCAAGAAGGGCCCAGATGGAGGAACCATGGCTCTGGTCTTTGTCTTCTTAGAAAGCCAAAGCCAATTTCAGGATGAGCTAGCTCGATGGCCTCTTGTTGCCTGCAGTATGTTCTGGGCACTGAAAAAAATGCATCTGCATCCTTGTCTGTCAGGACGATGGAAATCAGTCCATTCTTATCGGACCACAGCATTCCTCTCCCACACCAATGTTAAGGTTGCTCAGCTTGACCAGTCTGTGAT